CCGCCCGGCCCAGCGCCCGCCGCCCGGCCGTGAGGCCCCGCCGCCCCGTGCGATGCGGCGGCATGGCGGCGCGGCTAGAGACGGAGACGCCCTCTGGCGGGGCCAGCTGCACGCACGCGGAGGCCGCGGGGAAGTCGAGGTGGAGGCCGTGGTGGAGGCCGTGGTGGAGGCCGTGGTGGAGGCCGTGGTGGGGGCCGTGGTGGAGGCCGTGGTGGAGGCCGTGGTGGAGGCCGTGGTGGAGGCCGTGGTGGAGGCCGTTGTTGAGGCCGTGGTGGGGGCCGTGGTGGAGGCCGTGGTGGAGGCCGTGGTGGAGGCCGTTGTTGAGGCCGTGGTGGGGGCCGTGGTGGAGGCCGTGGTGGAGGCCGTGGTGGAGGCCGTGGTGGAGGCCGTTGTTGAGGCCGTGGTGGAGGCCGTGGTGGAGGCCGTGGTGGAGGCCGTGGTGGAGGCCGTTGTTGAGGCCGTGGTGGGGGCCGTGGTGGAGGCCGTGGTGGAGGCCGTGGTGGAGGCCGTGGTGGAGGCCGTGTGAGGCCGTGGTGGAGGCCGTGGTGGAGGCCGTGGTGGAGGCCGTGGTGGAGGCCGTTGTTGAGGCCGTGGTGGAGGCCGTGGTGGAGGCCCTGGCCCTGGAGGAGGCCGGGGAACGGGACGCTCTCAGGCGGGGCCAGCTGCACGCACGTGGCGGCCGTGGCGGAGGCCGGGGTGGCGAGGGGACGATGCACGGAAATTATTGATGGCAAGGATCACCGACCGGACGAACGCGCGTCTTCGCCGATAGAGGCGAACATATCGGAGGTCGAGCTAGGAGGAAAAATTGGAGGGTCAGCGTGGGGCCGTGTTAGCCGCGAGGAGGCAGCCGACTCACTTATGCGTCTTCGCCCTTGGGGCTGGCGGCAGAAGGCCGAGCAACTGGACTGACTCCTTGCCGTCCAGCCTTCACGAAGACGCACTTGTCCTTGCGGGGCGCACTCGGCGCACTGGAGGCGGAGATCCACCGCGCAGCGAAAAAAAAAGCACAAGCCGAGTCCTCATCCCGCCCAAGTAGGCTAAGTCCTTGCCCGCACTCCAGCCCCTCCAGCCCCAGCCCCTCCAGCCCCTCCAGCGGGCACCCGGAGCGCCAGCGCCCCACCGACCCCACCCCCGGGTGGAGTCATCGGGACATCCCACCACAAGAAAGGGCCGGGCACACGCGAGGCGGGGCGGGGCGTGGCGGGGCGTGGCGGGGCGTGGCGGGGCGTGGCGGGGCGCGGCGGGGCGCGGCGGGCGTGGCAGGCCTGGCGGGGCGTGGCGGGGTGTCGCGAGGCGTGGCAGCGGCTTTAGACCGAAACAGACGCGCTCGCTCTTTGAAGGCGCAGCGAAAGAGAAGAAGACGGCGCCGCCGGGCGATCTCTATCTCTAACTATCTCTCTCTAGCCCGTACTCTATCTCCGGCTCTACAGCTACGAGCCCGCCACCAAAGAGGGGGCTCGCGTGGGCCATTTCGGATTTCCAACTTTGAGCGTTATCATCCTCCTGTGGGCATTCCCATGCGCCATACCTGTGTGGGACCGAGACCGAGAGGCATGCCGAAGGCTGAGCCGAAGGCCGGGCCGATGGCAAGCCCTTGGGCCGACAGTTGCTGCAACGGCCACACTGTCGAGTCGACTAAAAAAAGTTCAATTTCGATTAAATTGGGTTGATTATGTGGGTAATATAATTTTTACAAAGTATCCACGTCAAGAAACACTGTTATTTGGTTACTTGCATGGTTTTTACTACAACAAAAAATTTTGTCAAAAAAATGTAGGTTAATTTTTTTTTTAAATCCAAGCAGTCATTTTTGGGGGAGGGGGGGGGCGATGAATTCTTCCCTAAGATTTTGCCAAACGAGCTGAACCTAATAGCTTCAGTCAATTTGGCTTTTATGGGACTCTAACATGCGCACACACGCGAACACTCCTCACAAACACAGGAGGGAGGGGGAAAAAAGGCGTGTGCCATAAATTTGCTCGCAGCGACCCCCTTCCCTCGCTTCCGCCCGCGGTGGCGCTCTTCTACATGTGGTGACCTTCTCTCCAGATACAGTGGTACACCCCCCCCGCGGCCCTGCGGCCCTCCGCTCTCGTTTTGTCTAGCACACACACGTGTTCATGGCGGCCATCGATAGCTATCGATAGCTATCGATGGCTCGTGGCCCGCATTCCAGAGAGCATCAAGCTACGCGTGGTTAGCGCGGCGCAAGATGTGTCGCTCCGACTGCTCTCCCCCCCCCCTCCGGGCGGTTGTAATTAATGCAAATCTGTTACAAAGGGTAATGATTCGAATTTGGCGCCAGGCCCCGATGGCGCGGCCGCGCGCCGACATGGCGGCGTATTAATACGTTATTTGCGCGAACGGTTTCCACAAAAACAGGGAAACACCCCCGGCCCCGTTTCCGCAGCCCGCGCGCCCCGCCGTCCGCCGCTTTTTTTATGTTTCCTTTTTTTTCTTGTCGCCTTTTCGATATTATTTTCGCTCGGCGAACGAGCATTTAATTGCCGTTTCCCGCAGCAGTGTCCCTGCCGCGGCGAATTGGACAATCAGCGCGGCCCTTCTTTCGGAAATAAAAAACGGAAACCTCAAAGAATCCACTGATCCACTGAAAAGCGATCCGGGGAAAGGGGGTAAAAAAAAGACCCAGTTCGTGTGAAAGCGATCGTGACACGCGAGGAGAATCGCAAAAATGTCCGAAACGGAGCGACAGTTGCAGGGCATAACAAAAACGACATACACTGTGAAAACTTTCGTAGATCGGTACCGATCACGGAAAACGGACTTCCCGCTCTGGTTCTTCGTGGTCCCCATGAGGATCTCCTGTAAAATGGTCCAGAAAACATGTTGAGAAAATACGGACTGCACTTCTTCTGTTTCGTTTTTTCCTACCGGAGTAAAATTTCAAAGTTTCAAATCAAACAGATATTGGCAACTGGGCGCGGTTGTGGTCAGAGAGTCGCAGTGGACCGACGACACCGGCCGTCGCTGGAGGGCCTCCAAAGCGCCCGACAGCCTGCCGCGTAGGCCGTCCCGCCGCGCAGCTTTGCCTCAGAGTTGCCTACCCTGCGTTCCGCGGGCTGAAGCCTCGCGGGCCCGGCCAAGGCCCCGGGGCTCGACAAGCAAGGCCTGCCGACGTCGACGGTAGTCCCGTTTCGAATGCCCGTTCGTCTACGTTTCAGCCATTTCACAAAGGCGGAAAAAAAAGATTAAAGACGGCGTTGTTGCGACTTCATGAAAATTGAAAAAGTTGTTTTTCCCCCGGGCCGCTCCCCCGGAACGCCCCGCCGCTCCGCTCGCGTGACGGGGACGGGACGGCGCTCCCAGGACGACGCCGGGCGCTTCCGGACGGAGCCGAGGCAGAGGCCGGGGCAGAGGCCGGGGCAGAGGCCGAGGCAGAGGCCGGGGCAGAGGCCAGGCAGAGGCCGAAGCAGAGGCCGGGGCAGAGGCCGGGGCAGAGGCCGAGGCAGAGGCCGGGGTAGAGGCCCAGGCAGAGGCCGGGGTAGAGGCCCAGGCAGAGGCCGGGGCAGAGGCCGAAGCAGAGGCCGGGGCAGAGGCCGAAGCAGAGGCCGGGGCAGAGGCCGAAGCAGAGGCCGGGGTAGAGGCCGAGGCAGAGGCCGAGGCAGAGGCCGGGGCAGGGCAGAGGCCGGGGCAGAGGCCGGGGCAGGGCAGAGGCCCAGGCAGAGGCCGGGGCAGAGACCTGGGCAGAGGCCGAGGCCGGGGCAGAGGCGCCGGGGCCGAGGCCGAGGCCGAGGCCGGCGGCGCAGAGGCCGGGGCAGAGGCCAAAGCAGAGGCCGGGGCTGGCAGGCAGACCGAGGCCGGCGACGGTAACTTTATGCGCGAAACCGGAGAGCGCGCGGCCTGTCTGCCTGCTCGGCCTGGCCGCCTCGGCCCGTGCCGGGTTTCCTTGGTTTCCTGGAAGCCAATGCCAGCCAGTGGCAGCCAGTGGCCAATAGTGCGGCCCGATTCCAGCGAATTAGTGGGGACACTCCAATGACTACGGCGGAGTGTGTCAGATGACCCACATCCGCGAGGAAGAGTGGCGGTGCGCTGCGGGGCAGAGAGAGAGGAGAGAGAGGTTGCGAGAGAGTGTGTGAGGGAGAGAGAGGGAGGGAGAGAGAGAGAGAGAGAGAGAGAGCGAGAGAGAGAGAGAGTCGGGGCAGAGAGAGCCTATCGACCGCCTGGTGTATGACGTCAGAGTTGCGTCACCAAATGGACCGCGCCCTGCCCCGCCGCCGCCCCCACAGCCCCCTGCCCCCCACGGCCCCGGGAGCGGCGGCGGCAGCGTACAGCGATAGTGGCAGGGCGGCAGGGCCCCTCCCTTCCCACTGCCGGCCCCGACCCAGCCCTGACCGATACGCCCCGTGTGGGGCAAGGCTGGGGGCGGGGGTGGGGGTGGGGTGGGGCGGGGGCCGGTGGGGGCGGGGGTGGGGTCAGCCTTAAGTAAAGCGGCTCCACAGTGCACCCCCTCCCCGCCCTCCTCCTTTAACCGTTTCACTCCGACGAAGGGTAGTTCATAATTCACGTAACGGATGCCGGAGAGAAAAGAATTTTTATCGCGCAAGCTGCCTACCCACCCCAACGAGGCTTGAAAACGCTGGCAGTGTGATCCACGTCACGGAAACATCCACCGGGATTTTTTAGGGTGGCTTTGAGCGCTTCCAAAAAAAAATACATGCAACTCATAAAAATAATATTTTGCTTTTAGAAAATTGAGTGTAGTGAAGCCTTTTTTAAGGAGTTTGGCATTTGTTCGATTATCTGTATCCTGTTGTTTCACTGATGTTTGGAGAAAGTGGGGTCAGAGCACCTGGTTACCCCCTCCCTCGTTCCGCAACTTTCATTTACATGCAAAAATGGAATACCGCATAAATTCCCACGGAAAATTTTTTGTAAGCTCATCTCTAGGTTTAAGTTAAAAAAGGTGGAGTCATTTTCTTTCTTGTTTGAAATTACAATAGTAGAAAATCCAGGCTCAAGGAAAAGAAAGATTTGAATGTTAAAAAAAACAGGTGTTGTTGATTTATTTACACTAAGGGTTACATACACCAAGAAGGTACAAATCTGTTCTCATTAAAACTCATGGTTTAGTTAAACGAAACACCGCAGAGACCATTGACACATAATTAAAAATAATTCCCAATTTATTATCTTATTTCTGACTTTCATTGGTCACTCTGAATTGAGGTTCAATTTATTTACAGTTTCCTCAGCTGACTTGATAATTTCATCAGAGGATGAAGCAGGGTCCACACATTTCCCTAAACCTTTGCTTTTCTTCAGTTGAACTGACTCCTCATATGGTGGGCTGATCGGTGATTGCACAGGAGGACGGTACTGATAAGGTTGACGGCCCTCCAACTAAAGTAAAAGAACAAATTTGCCACTTAGATGTTGACTGTATCTCAACTAATACAAATTGACTTCACTTTTGTTGCTACTTGCCTCCAAAGGGTAATTTGTATCTGAGTCATAGGCACTAAGGTCACCACATGCAAGGAAGGGTACAATTACTCGGTTGGACCCAGTTAGTTGGTTCCAGTCAGTGTACTTGTGATCAAGCAGGGGATTGCTCATGTTTGGAATATAATCGGCAGGTGGCGAATAATTTTGACAAACAACAAATGATTCTGTAAACACAGAAAACAGGCATTGATATTGGAAGGGCAGTGGTTACTTTAAAATATAATAACGTGCAAACACAAAAACTGTTAAAGATGAATGTGCCACTTACCAATACTCGAGTTCCTGCTGCTAAGAGGTTTTGTCACGGTAACGATTGGGAAGAATATTTTTAACTGGGAGTATAGAAGAGTAATATCTTTTCCCCTAAATATTTTAGCTAAAAATGAACCACCTGGCTTTAAAATGTGTGTGGTTATATTCAGAGCTGCTAGAAGAAGCTGTGCCTGAATATATTCATCCATTTCATGAAGACCAGTAACTGTAAAGCAATGTAAATTAAATAAGTAATGACACGAGGAGGTGTTTTACATATAACAGATGTAAGAACAACTTTGGCAAACTTACCATCTGGGGCTCCATCACAAATGACAAGGTCAGCCGACTCTCCTTTAAAATGATCTATGATGGCGTTCGCAGTTGATACCTGAGTTATATCGCCCTGTAATTGAATGACTCCTTTTAAAGGGGCCATTGCTTGGAGGTCTACAGCAACAATTTTGGCGTTGTCACTCCCATCTCTAAAAGAAAATAAAGGTGTGATAAACAAGAAGAAACAAGAAGAGTATAAATTGGAAGAGGACACGAATATCTTACTTCAGAAGACGCTTTGCAAGAACTTGACTCCAGCTTCCTGGGGCTGCACATAAGTCGACAACATTCTTGACACCTGAAAAATAAACAGATATGTGCATTAGGAAACAAATCAAGTCAGGTTAAGGAGTTTGTTGATGAAGCATTGGACCACTCTGAGGACAGAGGTTATGAAGCAACAGACCTTCCAGAAGTTTGAATTCGTCATCTATTTGCATCAGTTTAAACGCACTCCTAGCTCTCCATCCTTCCTCCTTCGCTAATCTATAGTAAACATCACGCTTGTCCTTTGATGTCTTTCCCATGGTCAAAATTAATGCGGTTGTATCAAGCAGTAAGTTGCCGTAAACTGTTGACGTCTTCTGCTTAACGTGCAAGTCTTAAATCTACATATATTGATATCGACAACCGGCTGTGTACGAGGCTACAAAACCTACGGATGAGAAATTTATTATAACCAAATTTGTAACAGTACCATCCTTACGACTTTTCAAACTGCGCAAGAGAGCACGCCCAAAGTTGCTAGGGTCTTTATTTACTACTTTCCTTTATTTTTAGTAATCATGGCATTCCTAATACTTTGAATCAAAAGAAATTTAATATGTTCTGAGGGCGCTGCGTCGGGCTTTTCTTTACTCACACCACATTAGGTGTTGGACAACGTGTAAGGGTTCCCATCAAGGTTCACCAGTGAGTCCGCTAGAGGGCAGCACAAGTGGATTGCGAACGTTACCACGTGACCTTTTGCCTAGCAACGGTTTGTTGTGGTTTTTGAAACACAAAAGCAGCGAACTGTCGGCCACCGAAGTGGGTTATGTTGTTTTCAACAGCACTGTCTCTCGCTGCATTCCAGTGGACGTCGCCGTCTCGTGTCTTCTCATCCATGTCCAGGAGTAAGGTGGGTCTGGTGCCATTAATATGCTGTGCCATTGATCTAGACTGATTTTGCAGGCTCTGTCATTTCTAGACGTGGTTAGAAGCTTACATTTTAAACAATCTTACTTGTCCACAGGCACAAATCTCGACAAGAGACATGTCGAAGAACATGACTGACAAGACAAGATCCTCTTCTGTCTCAAGACGTGAAAGTGCTGTTTCGAGTCAGAAAGTGAAAGCTAGCGAGGATGTGGGTAGCAAGAGAACTGCAACAGAAATAAAGAGGCAGAAAGCAGCCGAGTCTAGCATTGATTTGTCCAAGGAATCTAAAAGCAAGGTACCATCCCAACGGGTTATTGCGGAGAGGCAGCCAAAGACTTCTACTTCTAAGCCTTCGTCTCTAAATCAACCACGAGAGGCCACCAAGCCTGCATCAAAGTCTCGCTCTGAAAGCAATGTAGGCAACAGGACTCGCTCTAAAGAGCTACCTAAACCTGTGGTTACGAACAAGCCATCACAAGCAATTACAAAAACAAAGGTTAAACCAGGCGCAGAGTTAAAATCTTCTCCTCGTATTTCAGGTGAAACTTTAGTAGTTTAATCAGAAACTTCAGAATTTTGTTTGTTTGTGAGTGTGTTAAATCTTATCCAAAGGAACACCTTCATTGTTCAGTTGAGAATTCCTGGAAAGACATATAATTTGACTATGAAAGGCTTTACAAGGCTCCTGAATCCTTAATTTGAATCTTTGTTCCAGATCAACAAAAAGGTATTGCTAGCCAGGCAAGAAGAAATGGTGAAAGCAAAACTACAGTTACTAAATCTCTCCAACCGGAACAAAATAAGAAAAAGGCTGAAGCAAAAGTCATGCCTAAATCTGTTGAAAATGGCAGTGGCGAGGGTAGATTAAATAGAGAACGTACCAAAACACGCACCCTTAACCCAGAGGACTCGCAGCTCTTGACAACATTGCAGAATGCAGCTCAACAGCTCCCTCCAGACATAAACCCTCAATCGGCTGAAACAGAACTTGATTATGAAGATGATTTTGAGGCAAATACTCACAAATTTGATTTCTCTGTTAATTTCTCTGCCTGGATATTTTTTCACTTGTTTCACTTGTTACAGGATTATGAATCAGACTTTGAAGAGGCCCCAAGCTTAGAAGTAACCTCAGAGGAAGATACAAACGAAGAAGTGAGTAAACGTGAAGATGGTGACAATGAAGATGATGATGATGACAAAGAAAATTATGATTATGGTGATTCCTCATCTTCATTAAGTGAATTACAAACCAATAAAGATGTGCTGTCATCCGCTAATGGCAAATCCGGAGTGGAAGAAAAGAAAATGGATTCAGGACATTATGACCTTGCTGATGACCAAAGACTTAGCCGTAAATTTGTAGGTAGTGTTGTCAACAACAATTTAAATGTGTATGAGAGAGAAAATTTGCCTCTCAGAGAGATTAGGTTGGTATAATAGTGCATGCATAACACCAATATACTGCAAAATCTTCCCCCAGAAAATAATCAATGGTATTTTTCTTTCAGCTCACAGATCTCTGTTGGTGAAACAACAAATCAAAGTGGCAGTTTTGAAGTAAAAGCCATTAATTTTGCTCAAGCTAAAAAAAGACAGCAAGAAAGAAAGGTAAATCACCTTACTTCCTTTGACAAGGGGAGTACTATACTAACTTGATTATTGAATTTTTTCTTTAGGCTTCCAGCAAAGTGAAACAAAGAGGAGAAGTTCTTCTCAACATGATACGCCTTGATTGTGTAAGCTTTCCACTGTTTGAAGCAGCCCCAGTGCCGTATGAAATCTACATGAGAAGTTATGGCCGTTCCAATGCTCAACAGGTACATTTAAAAAGTGGTGAACACACCATTTTCCTTCATACTTGTTCCATGTTAATTCTTGCTTTTCTCCCTTCCTCGGTAGGTTTCTTGCCAAACAAATGAAGATGGGATGACTGAAGAGGTTCAGACAGATGAAATAGTGTCAATAAATAAATGGACCCAACATCCACCTTCTCTCTATCAACCAGATGATTCCATAGCTCATCCTCTGGTAATGAAAACTAAATAGGGCCCCCAATTTATTTTCTCTTGTAAGGAACTGATTGATCTCTCATTTAATGTTTTCTTGCGTAGCTTTGCGCTGTTAGTTCTGACCCTTGTGATCCAAGTGACCTCCTGCTGTGGAGGAAAGGCCTTCAAACGGATGTGGTGAAGCTTGAAAACTTCATTTTAAATACTGGACAAGTAAGGCAGTCAATTTGTGCAGTAGCAGTAACTGTAAAAAAATATGTTAACATGACTACATTTTAAAATTTGCAGCTCATGCTCAGTGTTCTGGAGGAAATGTCAAGCGGTGCACAAGGACTTCTGAAGAGTAATAAAGTAGATCTTGGATTTAGCCAGGGTTTTATGACTTTGGGCACAGATTCAGTTCCATTTTTGAAAAATCGTAAAGTTTCAAGAATATGTTTTGTACCCCATCAACCGAACACTCTTCTCTCTGTTCACCTAAAGCCCCAAGAAGTAATTTATTGTGGGATTATTTTTCAAATCTTACTTGTGCTTACTCTGTAGGTGCACATTTGTCACTGTTTTTCTCTTTATGATCTCTAGGTCAACTACAGTGAAGAACTGTCTAGTCAGCTGGTGAAACGGTGTATTCTTTGCCTTTGGAGCTTATCCCAACCATCACAGCCTCTTAAGATCCTTGTCTCAAGCTCTGATGTCAGGGCTTGCTCCTTCCATCCTTCCCGTCCAAATCTCCTGTTTGCAGGACTAGTAGATGGGTGAGTACTCAGTGTTCAAACTGCTTTGGCTGCATTTTTGTCAAGTTTCTAAAATTGACTCTTTACCGTAGTCTGTTGAATGTCTGGGACCTGAAAGAACAAACCATATTTCAAAGCAAGGTGACATATCAGAATACTGATTGGGGGCTAAAATCTCCAGCCTACACCACAGGTATAGTACTATTTCTTAGTCATTTTAACAAACTTTAGTAAATATTTTTAATATTCTTGTTCTTTGATCCAGTGGACCACATCGGAACAAAGCACTCATCAGCAGTTGTTGGTGTTGAAGTCATTGATGGAATGAAAGACTCACCCAACCAAACTTCTGAACTCTCACCAACTCAGGTGGCTATCACATGAAGGTCATAACGTACTTAAATAATAAAGGATGACAAACCAATTTCTTATTTGTTGCTCCTTTTGGCTGCTTAGATCTGCAGTCTTGATGAGAGCGGTCTTTGCATCATTTGGACATTGTTGAGCAGCTCAGCAGGAGTGACTGAGGATGTAGGCACTGCTCCCTGGAGTAGTATAAGACTGCTTCAAAATGAATCATTCTCACTTGTTCAGCGTGTTGCCCCAGCCATGTGAGTAGAACATTTTCTCCGCAAGGAGTTTAGTGAATCTAATAAAAAGCATAGAAAATCCATGGTCCAAAGAAAACTTGGTCAGGACAACCCGCTGTGAATTAAACCTTTGTCTACTTTCAGTGAGGATGGTGGGGAGAACCTACAGTTCAGTGACTTGAGGCTGGACAGCGCGGATTCGGCGCATCTCTGGGCGGCGACCAACACTGGACACGTCGCGCACAGCCTGAGTAGCGGCAGCCGAGCCCACCCAGCAGTGTACCTCCCGGACTGGGGTGAGTAGCCTGGGAGAAAACCTAATTAAAGGTGCATAAGTTTCAAGACACAACTGCACCTTTCTTTTATCAACCTGAAGTGCGGTGAAATTGCAAAAGCTGGCAAAGTGGGCATGCGAAGCAAATTAATGGCAAAGCCAAGGGTGTAGAGAAATGTTGGCATTTGTTTTTCCGCTGATGGAAGTTGTGTAGAGAGGGAGAGAGCGCCTGTGAACTCCGGGGTAGGCAAGCCCGCCGCACACCGCTGTACTGTAGTTGCATAAGCTGCAGGCGCTAGCGCCTGTGAACTCCAGCGTAGGCCAGCCCGCCGCACACCGCTGTACCGCGGTTGCATACAGTGCAGGCGCCTAGCGCCTGTGAACTCCAGCGTAGGCCAGCCCGCCGCACACCGCTGTATTGTGCGTGCATACAGTGCAGGCGCGCCACGCCACGCGTTTCACTAGCGTTGCAAGCCTGCTATGGGTGTACTGTCAAAGCAGGGCCGTTCGACTGCCTGCTCACACTCCTGTCTGTGCTCCACAGAATGCGTCTCGCCGGCCACGTGCTTGTGCCCGTGCCCCTTCAGCCTGCCGTACTTCTTGGTATGTATCTTCGAGTGTCGTGGCTTCGATTCGAACACTGGCAGTGGCTGGCGGTGGTTGCTGATTTTCTCTGATTTCTGTTTCTAGCTGGGGTGCGCGGACGGCACGGTGCGGCTTCACAGCCGGCACAGCGCGCGGCCGCTGCTCAGCGTGGCTGGGACCGGCGGGGCGGTGGGTGCGGGCCCGGCCATCGCCTGCCTGCAGTGGTCCACGTGCCGGCCGTGCGTCTTCTTCGCACTTGACACCGAGTCCAGGTACGCCGTCGCTCTGTCTCCCTCGCACACCTCCGGGACTGCATGAGAGCGAGAGAGACAGCTGCCTCTTTTCCCCGTCGACAGATGAAAACATGCTTCCTCATTGTTTCAGGCTGCACGTGTGGGACCTGGGTGCCAGTGATATGTACCCCATCCTGACCGTGCCCTTCCGCGGCAAGACCATCTCCACCATGGAGCTCTCGCCCAGCCGTCACGCTGCCAAGGCCTGTCCTTTCTTGGTAAGTCAAGTCGAAAAAGAAAGTTTTCTCGCAACTTTTCTGGAATTGAGAGCATCATTTATATGTCAGGCCCTGGGGACTGCGTGTGGCAAGCTCAAAGTGCACCTAGTCAAGGACTCTTTTGCCTCAACATCTCTAGAGCAGACAGCTTTGGAGTTAGATAAGCTGAAGCGATACATGGCCATTCTGTAAGACAAGACAAGTGGCTGCATTTTGTACACCACTCAGCGTGGGTTTTTGTTTTTGTTTCCTATTTATTGATTTTACTCATATATAATTATGATATGAATTGTGATTGATGTGTTTAATATCAACTCTGTGATAGTGTTGAAACGTGATATGTAAATTTTATTTGATTTTTGATAAGTTTAGAGGGCATTAAGAAATTCTGTATATACACACAAACTTTAATGCGTGGGCATGGATGAAGCACGCGCCTCTTAGTGCTTGCTGACCAAGAATACTAAGAAGCGCATGTTCATTCAAGAAAACACTTAAGTTTTGTGTGTACTTTCCAATCAATTTTCACGTTTGAAATGGTGTTGTGGTCTTGTAGTTCTGTTAAAGCTCACATGTACAATAAGGAAGCCTTTCTTGCAGCCTTTATTTTCAATTGTACAAAATGGAAAATGGCGAAATCATAAATCATCCAATTTAGAGAGACATTAAACAGGACGGAAAAAACACAGTTTAACCATAGCAACATAATTTTTGAAAGTTAATTCGAATTCCCGGTGGCGCTTAATCTTGATTGGTCATTGCAACACCGAAATAATCGTCTTGGGCCTCTCACACAATTTAAAACAATTATAAATTATTTTGAATAGAAGCTCTCTTCAGTTTTTATTGAGTACAAAAATCACAACGTTCTGAAGGAGAGTTGGTCTTTGAAGAGCAGACTAAATTTTGTTTCCAAAGTCGTAAATTCAACAAAGAGGAACATTTTTGCAGACATTTCATAAGCCTGGACCCAGAGTAGCAATAAGAAAGTAGGTAATTTTGCTACCTTGAATAGATTTGCGTAGTTAAAAATGGTCCCATGGTCTTGAACCAAGTGGATCGTTTCCCTCAGCTGCCTTGGAGGCAGCCTTTGAAACAAATAAGCAAGACTCCCTCAGAAATACCATTTGATGGATAAAAGAACCCAGAAACAAAGCCATTAAAGAAGAGTCTGGAAGAAGGGGAAAACTTAACTCCTGCTTAAGTCAGTCCCTCTGGATCCGCAAGGCTGAAAAATATACGCAGACAAATGTTCACAGAACAATAACTTTTGTCGTAGACATAGTATACATTTTGATTTTATGTGTTGTCACTGGACCCGCCAGCAATGTTTACGCTTTAGATATGTATAACATACGGGAAAAAAACATCATTTCGACTGTACAAATCATAACTGTTAATCATGATGTAACAACATCTTTACACATAATAATAGAAAATACTTGAAACACTTGAACACATTCTTTTTCATAGAAAAAAAAAACAAAAAACAAAGTCATTTGGATCAATTTCTTTAGATCAAAGGCACAGTTTAGTTGTTTGAGCCGGGTCCATGGGGCCCCGGCGGGCCGTGGGGCCCGGGCGAGTACCCCGGGGAGTAGGCGGGGTTGGGGTTGGGGCTGGGGGGATAGCCGGAGGGCTGGTACCCGGACGGCTGGTCACTGAAGACCAGGGGCCCTCGGCCCTCCCTCTCTTGGGCCAGCAGCTGGTGCGCCGCGCGGTCCATCTCCTCTTGCGTCATGTTGAGGGCCTCCTGCATCTCTCGGGACGTGTTGCGCACGAACTCGGGGTCGCAGAACTTGCCCAGGCCTTGCTGAACCAGCACCTGGGAAAGAGAGTCGATTTGGCTTGTGTGTGCACGTGCTTGGAGCAGAGGGGCCTTTCTGGTGGCGCTGCCGCGCTACTCACCCTGCCCACCAGGCTCTCCGCGCTGCCCACCACGTGCGAGAAGTTGGAGTTGGGCCGGCGGTCCGCGGGGCTGGAGGGCACGGAGTGCGCGCCGCGGCCCATGTCGCCGTTGGCGCCCATCGGCTGGTTCCCTGCAAGCACAAGACCGTCACCGCGCTGCCTCGGTCCGCCTCCGTCCGACTTGGCCTCAAGCCAGATCCCGTGGCAGGCCAAGCAAGCCAAGTGGAACGAGGACGCCCCGTCACTCGGGAGTGTGGCTGTGTCGGGCTGTGTGGCTCCAGGGGGATAGCTGCCCTAGCGCGTGCGTCTGGAAGACATACTGCGTGGCCCGGCCCCGAGCCACTGGCAGGCTACCCTGGAAACTCGCGGGCGTCCTTTGCATTCCAAGTTTCCGCAGCCTTCCTCCGCCACGGCGTCGCCGCGGCGGGGACCTTGTTGATGAAGCAGATGACGCTGGCAGCCAGCGGCGTCTTAGCATTGCCGGCGCGTGCATGCAAAGCAATGCAAAGCCCGCCGAACAAAAGACAAAGAAAACAACAACACACGCACACACACCTCGGCCGTGAAACGAGGCTCTGTGCGTGGGCGGGGTGTCGAGCAGCTCCGGGGCGCTACCGGCCATGGCGCGCCAGCCCGCCCGGCCCGCGGGGACGCTGCGCCGGAGTGCCCGCACCCCGAACGGCACCCGGAGGCCCCGGTTGGGGCTGGGCTGCCCGGGGCTGGGTTGCCCGGGGCTGGGCGTCAGAGGGAAGGCCCCTGGCGGCGAGGCCGGCGACCGCTGCTGCTCGTCGTCCGGGGTGGGCGCCGGCGCGGTCACGGCCACGGACACGGTGCGCGGCGTGCCCTGGGCGCCCTGCGCGCGCGGCGTGTCCGGGAGGAAGCCCGCCACGGCCAGGGCCTGCTTCTGGGCCAGCTTGAGCCCGCCCGCGATCATGCCCTCGTCGTCGTCCTGGTGCCGCCGCGACGCCTGCGTCGTCAGCTCTGCCTCGGCTCTGCGACACACACACACACACACGCATGCAAGCACGCACACCACAAGCCACCTCGTCGCCCCCCCCTCCCTCCCCCTCTCCGGGCCGATGGGTTAACTCCTAGGCTAGGTTAGTACCACCACAGCAAACCAACGTGTTAGTCTCTATTTTAGGGCGGTGTTTCCGGGGTCTGTGGCTCTTACCATAACTATATGGATGAAGGAAAGTAACCCCTCCAGGTTTTCTGGAAAGGAAGTAGAGAGGGTCAAATTAAAAAGAAACAAGTTAGCCCGGCGCACGCCGGAGTGCTCGGGAGTGCGCGCCTGGGGCCCGAGATCGCCTCGGAGGGCCTTAAAGAAGAAATTAATTAAAAACGCGTGCTGTGCTCTGGGGGCGGGGATTGCGGTGTTTATCTTCCTCGCCGCATCCGTCTTCGACTAACCGACTAAAAGAAAAAAAGACGCTAATCGAGACATCATTTTTGGGAGGGCGAGTGAGCACTTACTCTTGGTAGTGGCCGTGCGCCCGGTCCGGGTCGCCGTTGGGGACCGCCAGGGGTCTCATGGGGATGCTCTCACCGCCTTTGTAGCCCACGTCCTGCATCGAGATGGCCCTGCAAGGGAAGCAAGCGGAACGTGCCGTCAGCAACACTCGTTTGAAACTAGCGCGATACAGTGGGCCAGATGACTAGTGAAGACGACCAAAATTCTAGACGCGTTTTGAGCTCCAGAGTCGCTAAATGAGACTCAAACCGGACGTGTGACCCCACCAATGGATTCCTCTTTCGGAGAGCAGTCCATTGATGGGGTCACACGATCGGTTCGGGTCCCATTTAGCGACTCTGGAGCTCAAAACGTGGCTAGAACTTTGGCCTCCTCCACCGGTCTTCTGGCCCACTGGGCGCGGCGAATCGCTGGTGAATGGAGACCCACCCGGGGCCGAGCGCCGACTTGGTGAGGGCGGTGATGTGGTTCATGCCGTCGTTGACGGCGCGCTGCAGCGCGTTGTAGGGCAGGTAGTCGATCGAGTTGGTGGGCGACACCTGCGACAGCAGCGCCACAAAATTAGCAGGACTCAAACAGAGGCGAAAATGGCTGCGAGATCCTGTAGACCGGCGGCGCTGTCTAAACCAGCTAGGACGCTAGCTAGAGTTCTATAGTTTACTGGGATCTGTCCCTACAGCTGTCGGTACAAGACACCGTGATACATTATGGTGAATTTGATCCAAGATACGTACAGTACTAGCAAATAAGTGAAGCTCGTAGGCAAAGTACCCTATAGTTGGTTTACTGACTAGCACAGTTGATCGTGTGTGTGTGAGTGTGTGTGTGTGTTCTCACCTGGTGCGCCTACACTCTACGGTACGGTTTCGTGCGCCCAACGCTGATTACGCTCTAACGACTTTACGTAATGTACTTACAGCTCGAATTAGTAATGCGATTGTAATTACTGTAATTACTGTGATCATCGAGCTCCCGACCCTTCTCTGCGCCCGGCGCGGGGCTCCTCCACAATGCTCAAGGAAAAGTAAAAGGCATTTGAAAGGAGAAGAGAGCGGAGAACAAATGATTCGATAGCGCCGTGAAGCAAGGTGTGCAGAAATACTGAAAAAACTGGATGTACAGCTCTACTGGTTTACTGTAAGTAGTATAAATAATGACATTCGTCGGTCTATCATGCAGACCCTTCCTGCCTTTTTCAAACAGACTTCCGGCCAAAATTTCTCTCTCTTTTTTTCAAAGATTGAAGCCCTGTCATTATTTTTGAGTCTTGTGGGCTGGCAGCCATGAGAATTTTAAGGTGGCACTCCAAAGGGCTGCTTTTAGCCAAACGAATAATACATTCTAAGACATACAGACAGATAGACAAAAGAAAGGAAAATGACAACAACTTTTCACATAAGATAAACGACTGATGATGGCATGATGTGGCGACTCTATCTGAGCAGAATAGCCAGTGCTGGAAAGTGACAAAGCATTATGTGTCATTCTACTCGTTGTACAGCAAATGAAATAAACATGCACCGTTTGCTACCTTTCTAAGGTTCCTTCCAGGTACATCCAAGTGCATCATCTGTGGAACAACATAGCTTTATTTAAAGATTCTGTGAACAGGTTGACGTTCACACGGAAAAGGGGGAAATAAATTACAAGATGCATTTCTGTTTTTTGAAAAATCTTGAATTTTGTTGGGAAAATATGTATTATTTTACAAAGCACGAAAAGACGCCGTTGCTTGCCAGTGAAAATTTTATAAAACTTAGAGATGATTTCAAAATAGGGTACTTGCCTTGATCTGCGTGGGGTTCACTTTGAGTGACCTGGCACGGTTGAAGCCGCCGTGGCCCCGACGCATGGACGACCATACGCTTCCAAATAGGGAGTGGTTTCGCTGGAAGGGTAAAAAGAGTTTATTTATTTAAGGCAACTTTAAACTAGTATTTTAAAAGCTGGTGGGCGAGCGTCTAGCCTCACCCTGTGGGACGGTTCCTGCTGGTCCTCCATCATCTCCTCCAGGTTTCCTGAAATGGCTCTCTTGAGCTCGGGCCCCGCGTCGTGCAGGGTGCGCAATCCGGCCTGGAAAGGAGAGCACGGTCACGAACGAGTCACGCTGTGCAACCACAAGTAGCGCGGTGCCCAGGCGCACTGTGAGCCAGAAGACCGGTGGAGTCGACCAAAATTCCAGACGCGTTTTGAGCTCCAGAGTCTCTAAACAGGACTTGAACCGAACGTGTAACCACACCAATGGATTGTTCTTTGTACGCGGAATCCATTGGAGGGGTCACATGCTCGATTCGAGTCCATTGAGCGACTCTGGAGCTCAAAACGTGCCTAGAATTTTGGCCGCCTCCACCGGTCTTCTGGCCCACTGTGAGGCGTCGTGGCTCACCTGCAGCGTCACTGTGTTGTGCGAGTCCTTGTCGGTGTCCTTCATCTCCTGCTCTTTCCTCTTCTTGAAGCGCCGGAAGTAGTCTTGGATGAGGAATGTAGCGTAGAACTTGCCGACGGTCACCTCGTCGTCCACTGCAGAGGAAAATCAAGTTAATGCCCGGCCCGTTCAAACTTCGGACAGAAATTTTTTTGCAGGGCCATTAGCCCGGACGCACCTCCGGGCGGTGGCACCACCTGATCCAGCAGCTTTGGGCTGGTCCGCTTCCAGATCTTCTTGATGACGGCCCGGAGCTCCGCGTTAGCGTCGTCGATGTTGCCCTCCGTCTTGATCTTGAGCGAGGTCCTGACCACGGCGAACAGCGTGGCGTTGAACAGCACCGTGCCGTCGCTGTTGAGCGGCATGTTCATGGACACCAGACGCTGCGGAAAGAAACGAAGTCAATACCCCTGGCGTGGGGTGCGCCCTCGGTGCGGGGGGTAGCGACGGCCGTCCGGCGTGGCGACGCAGGCCATACGCCCTTACCTTGCACGCCACCCGGTGCGGGCACAGCTTGCCGAAGCCCAGGGGCGGCGAGATCTTTCGCAGCAGCGTCACCACGTCTAGGTGCTTGATGCGGCCCTTGGCGTCGGGGTCGTACTCGCTCCACAGGCGGATGAACTCGTCCAGGTGGTGCGGGCCCAGGATGGACCAATCACGCGTCAGGTAGTCGAAGTTGTCCATGATGACGGCCACGAACAGGTTGATGATCTAGACGCAAATCAGCAATCAGTGGCGGTATAGAGACCTGTGCGTTAAGAGTCGTCAGTTCAAAGTCGCCTCACCAGAAACGAGCACAGCACGTAGAAGGAGATGAAGTACGGGAAGGCCAGGTCGGAGCCGCAGGTCTCCGAGATGCCGTACTGGTCCGAGTTAGCGTCGCATTTGACTTCGCCCGGCTGGCTGGAGCAGTCCATCATGATGTCCTGCCACGCCTCGCCCGTGGCCGAGCGGAACAGCACCAGCACGGCTTGCGGGAACGTCTGGAAGTTGTTGTTCCGGGTGATGGCCGTGCCGCTGTCCAGCGCGATTTTGCCAAACACCTGCGTGGGGAGGGGGTTATTCGCACGATTCTTTGTTATTCGCAGCGCACTGTCGGCAGGGCCGCGCCTACCTGCATGCCGATGACGGCGTAGATGAAGAACAGCATGACGATGAGCAGAGCGACGTACGGCAGCGCCTGGAACGACTTGATGAAGGTCCAGAGGAGCGTCCGGATGCCCTCTCCCCTGGACAGCAGCTTCACGAGACGCATCACTCGGAACAGGCGGAAGAAGTTGATGGAGATGATGTTGGTCCCCGGCTGCAAGGGCAGAGTGTTAGTTCGGCCGAATGCTGACGATTGCTCGTGACGGTGTAGGCAACCTGACCGGTGTGAACGCCCAACTGGGTAGGCAACCCTCAGCACCACATTCACAGCATATTTTCATTAGACTTTTCTTTGTTTAATTTTTTTACAACCAAACAAAAATTGTTCAAAATTATTTGACGTAAGATGAATGAGATGATAACGATGGACAGATGCACAGCCACTACGAGGGTTCGGGGTCGTGCATGGAGGCATTCCACCCAGGCCAGAAATGAAATCCGCAGTGACGCATCTACCCTTAATCCGTCAAATCGACACATTTGAGAAGTTTGCCCACGATTCGACGTCGCCCTGACGCTTCGTTTCTGGCTGGGGTAAACCACGTGGTCGTGGCTTTCCGGGGGATGGGCATTAGGCAACGCCCTGTCTATGGGAGGATTACGTTAGCCAGACCACAGCAAGGGAGGGGTGGGGGATGACCGACCACGTGGCTTGTGGGTGATCCCCTGGGATTAAAGCATGTCGCCAATTTACATAACAGCGGCGAGTCCTTCAAGGGGCGGCTACAAAGCTTACATGACTAGGAAATGGAAAATACACCTACACTACGTGAGTCATGCCCATTAGTCTGTTTTCTTAAGTGGGCCTTTTTCTACAGGACACCTGTCTACGCCATAAAAACATCACAACTTTTTTCTTTGTTTTTAAAAAGCGTAGACTACTAATTTTACATGCGTATCTAGGTTGCCGCTTTATGGGACGTTCTAAGGGGTTATACTCTATTTCACCAATTAAAAGGTTGTTGCTGGGCCACACAGATAGGGGTCGGTAGAAGGCAGCTCCTGCTCAGACAGAAAACTTTGGCGGCTGCACTGAAAATTAACTTATTCAAGTAGCCATGCATAAGAGTGAAACACAGGCCATGCACCCGGCGCTGCATGCTAAAATTGTCAGACGTTACCAACCTTGGTTTTCTGGGGGGGCTGTGCGGAAGGTGCGTGAAAAAAGGTTTCCCATTAGTAATTTTGCACAGACAAGACAGATAGGTTACACAACGCAGGCACTGGGGCCACGAAGGTACGATCTTAACACACGTGCAATACGGATACAGACAGACCGTCCAACAGAAGCAAACGCGCATGTTGGATGTTCGTTAGCTTTTTTATTTGCTGTTTTTATAAATGCTCAAAATGACGACAAAAAGCAACTTTTCCAGTTTGCAGAAAATTACTAACGGAATTTGATTGACTTTTTTAGGTGCCGTGACAAGCGGTTCTCTACCTCAAGATACGAGTGGAGTCCGACTTGCCTTGTCCTGGGGCTAAAATAAAACAATATGCAACTAAAGTCAAATGTATTCTTTGCCGATACGTGCGCCAGCCTGTGAAATGTAGCGTACTTTTGTGTTCTAGGGTGAATTCGAATTAAGTGTTCGGACACAATTTACTGACACCTGTAGCTCTTTGGCGAGTGAACGTGGGGTAAACGGTTCAAAAAATGAACTTTGACAAAAAATGAATGGTTAGTGATTGTGTACTACACGTGTAGCACATGAACCAAAGAACAAAAAGACGTGTGAAGCAGAAAAACTCAAACAGATACACGTCCGCCGATTGTAAAAGATGAAAAAGCAACGAACATTTGGTAAGCTTGTGCTGTTAAAATACCTTTTCGCGGAAACAATACGACAGATAAAAACACAAAATGGGAAAAAAACATTTCCAAAAAAAATCCATTGAAAACACTTGAAGGTAATTGGAAGAAGTGGGATAATTGACCACAGAGCAAAAACAAAGGAACCATTTCATGCAGTCAATGCCTTGAGGCTCAAAGAAGAAAAGAAAAAAGAACAATTGGACAAAAAACAGACAGAATACGAATTTTAACCATAATCCGAAATTTGTTCTGCCTAACTCAAACTACACAAAAACGTCAATTGACAGGGCGAAAAGAAACTTACGTTAAATTCGGAATATACTATATCGATGAAGCTTCCCAACACGATGATGAAGTCAAAAACGTTCCACGCATCGCCGAAATAGTTCTGAAAAGCAAATCCTATGTATATACTGAATGGAAAATTTTAAACATTATTTAGAAAAGGACATACTTAAATTTTTACCTTAAATCGGAATGCGGCCAGCTTGAACACAAACTCGAACGCAAAGACGGCAGTGAAGATCATGTTGAGCTTGTCCAGCGCATCCGTGTAGGCGTCAGGCTGTCGGTAGAACTTCATCGCAAGCGTCACGGTATTGATCATGATGAGTGTGAATATAGTGTACTCAAAAGGCTGTGACGTGACAAACCACCATATTTTATACTGAAGTCGCTGCTTAGGTATGTAACGACGCACCGGCTTTGCTTTTAATGCAAACTCAATACAATTTCGCTGTAAAATAGATATGAATCATAGAATGACCCGTCCATTTGATGGACCTAGGTAGGCAGCAACAGAAACGGTAGTGCACCACTTAACTTACCTGGTTTTTATCAAGCTCGCAGTTTTTATATTCCTGTTCACCCTCATTTTGGAATGTGACAATGACAAAACCTACGAAAATGTTAACCATGAAAAATGCTATGATAATAATGTAGATGATGTAGTATGTGGCAACAATTGGTCGGTAATTGTGAATTGGCCCGCGCTCTTCGGCGTTTGAATCAATAGAGACGTAGAGAAGGCTGAAAAAGATGTATGCAACTTTATTCGTGCATTCCTGCGATGACATATTTTTTTTTGTAGTTTTTTTTTCTGGGATTACCCTAAGTACTTACCCTGGCCAGCCTTCAAACGTCGAGATTGTGAACAGAGTAAGCATTGCCTTAGCTACGTTATCAAAATGAAAAGTCCTATCGTTCAGTCCCCATTTTCTTGTTTCTACCCTAATGTTGTCTACATCGCCATTTTCGTAAACCAAAAAGGTCCCTTGGCAGTCTTCTTGACGCGTCTTTGATCCATCAGTACAAGAAAAAAACTTGCCCTGTTTAAATGAAAAAATAGTGAGAAAATATTTAAACCTTGTCAAGATACTTGCCTTTCAATCCCGTTGAAAATTACCTTAAATAGCTGAACACCAATAACAGCAAACATAAATTGCAGAAGGCATGTGACCAGCACAATATTGCCTATAGTCTTTACTGCCACTATCACACATTGTACAACATGCTGCAAGAGAACGAAACCGTATTAAATTCTCGCCTTGGTCCACTTAATTGTCAATTTCAATGAAGGCGACTTACTTTTAACCCCTTGGCTCTATTAATGGCCCTAAGCGGCCTTAACACTCTGAGTACCCTGAGGATTTTGATAACAGAAATGGCCCCAGAACTGAAACAAAAGACGGGTTCTGAATTCTGTCCACGGACGCACGATAGTGGCTTACTGACAAATGTACACACCTGAAAAACACGGAAACTAAAGATACGCAAACGACCAACAGGTCAAGCAAGTTGAACGCGGATCGACAGAAGGCGCCATCATGCAGCACAAACCCGGCCGATACAATTTTCAACACAAGTTCTATTGTGAAAACCGTTGTAAAAAAGTAGTCAAAGTATTGCAAAACCTGTTACAAAAAGGAAAGACAATTTAAAAAATTAAGTGATTTAATTTGGAATAAAACAATGCCCCAAGTTTCCAACTAACCCTATTTGTTGGCGTTTCACTTCTTAATGGGTTTTCAGCCCCAAGCAGCGCCGATGATACCATGATACAAACGAGAATTGCGTTGCTGAAATAGCTGTGGTTACTTGCCCAATGGCAAAACACTCTGAACCTGCAAGAAATATTAAAACGTTACATCAGGTCATTTTCTATAGGGCTTATGCTTCTTATTGGATCTGACTTCAAAGCTAAATGACACAAACTTTTTTCGGACATAAATGTTTTAAATTTTATATGCCTGTAACATTTTTATTGTTTGCGTAAGTACAATTAATTCCTCCTTTGTCTTGATGCAAAATAAATCTTTTCTACTCACCACTCCGTAAAAAAAGCATCGCCATGCAATTTATCTATTTTTACACATTTATAAAGCGAGAAATCTGCAAAAGCCACAAGCAAAAGCAACAAGTGTTTCATTCACAAGGAAAAAAAGACAAGAAAGGAAGTTTGGATTCGGAAAGAGCACAGGGATGCGTAAAATCTCAAATATTATTTTTTACTGTGGACTAAGGCCTCTATGTTGGAGCGGCGCGTACCAAAACCGTGAACAGCGCCATGCAGAGTTAGAAGGCAAGAACTTGATTCTAAGCTTTTTTATTACAAGTTATGTGGGACCGTCTACACTGTGACACAAATGAAAAAGCGCTGGTGTTGCTGGGATATAGGCACTTTGATCCGGAGCTGCCCATGAAGGCTGCGTATATAAAGCCGGGAACGGGCAGATGGCTCCCTCAACACCAGCGCTCTTTCTAATGGTGCCGAAGTGTGCTACGCGTGAATTCAATTAGTTCTGTGTGTTGCTTTGCGGCAGGTTAAACCACACTGCTTTTTTCGTTTTTGAGGTGGTTGTTGGTACTACTGATGTCACCTGTTGGTTTGGGAGAAGATGAAGAAGGACGACGCTGGTGGGATCGGCTGAACCTTGGTGGCCGGGCTGAACTCTGACATTCTGCGAGGCCGAGCCCCAGCGCTATCCCCGGCTCCCTCCCCACCTCCCTCTTCCTCGTCCAACTCTACGGGGCGGGCAGGGATAAGACAGAATCAACACGAGGGTCAAGGCAAGCGGCGCACAACACAACACAACTTCCATGTCGACTCCGCGTCTCACTGGCAGGGATAGGGGCACTTCAAAATGCATAACCAGAAAAGTGGGTGAGCAAGTATTGTGATTGGTATTAAATTTTTACAAATCAATGAAATTCAATCCAGTTTATCAACATATCCACGTAAAAACTGTTTCTTTTTATTCAAATGCACGAAAGATATCGTACTCTTTCCATAAGATGCACCCGAGGTGTTACCCCACACAAGGTTTTATAGATTACAACACGCCAAGATGCATGCACGATTGTTATGAAGAGTTAAAAACCATGCAGTATCAATGGTCCCTAAAAAGTTGTAACAGGGGTGTGGCCGGCATTTGGTCGGTTCAGACTGAATGGCTAGAAGTCATATCCCCAATCACAGTTGGCCCTACTGGGATCCGGCTTTCTGACTCCACATCCCTTAATAACTTTTATCGAGTGTTACAAGGTCAAGATCGACCTTAAACACATACCTTATGTGCCTTTGGCAGAAAGAAATTCGCTTGGTTTGAAATCCATTCATCCTTTTATAAGGTTATCTGCTCAAATGTCAAATATAAACAAAAGTCTTAACACCAGAATCACCAGAAGAACATAAGTACAAAAATACTACAAAACAGTAACAACATTGAGACAGTCTGTAACCCCTCGGGTGCATATAAGAACGTGGAAAAGTTCGAGAGGACGATTTGCGGAGCGCGCTCTTTACGGCTGGAAGTCTGGGTCGTTGCTTGGCGTGCTACGATAGAGGGAACAGCGAGACGAGCATACAAGGAGAGACGCTGGGCACCATGGGCCGAGACAACAACCAAGCATACAGGTAAACATCGAACGAAATACCAACGAAAAGTAGGAGGAACACCGACGAGCTTTGTACCACATTTACGGCAACCAAAAACACAGCTCCCTTGGGTTGGAGCGGGGCTGTCGAGGCATACGGGAAAACGTGCGGCAGGGGTAGTGCGCCCTAGACCTCACCGGTTGTCAACGGAAAACACTAGGAGCGAGGTGGCCTGAGGCATGGGCTTGCCCGCGTCGGCATGGTCGCTCTCTAGAGACAAGCGCCTCGGCACCATACGCGGCCCCATTCGGACGGGGAGCGTCTTTGGCCGCTCCGGCCTGCTCTCTCTCCTGGACTGCAGTGGCTCCCTCTCTGCGTCCGACTGCGAGAGCATCTCGGAGGGCGGGCTGGCGGCTCCTACACGGCCAGCACACGGTTAAACAGAGTTCCACCCCGACGCGCGCCGCCGCCAGGCCGCCGCCAGAAGACCTTGCAAAAGGGGTTAAGTAAAGTAACCTAGCTGCCGCGGACTATGGCTACAGACTTACCCGGGTTTTCGTTCTGGTCGTCGTACGCGTACTCCTCGCTTTCCCCGAGGTCGATGCGCACCTTCGACCGGCTGGTAGTGCCGTCACCCTTTTCAGATCTGCCAAAAAAGAGCGGCACTTGAATAGACGCTCGAGGCAGCGAAGCAGGTGAAGCCTTGCCGACAAGGTTGGCGTGCAGTAGCGGTACGCACCCTTCCTCCTCCTCCATCTCCTCCTCCTCTTCTTCCTCGGCCTCCTCGTCTAGGCCTTCATCCCCCTCTCCCTCGCCCTCCCCGCCTTCCCCCTCTTCTCCCTCAGCATTCTCGCCCTAAAACACACAAACATGGATTAGACGGAAAAGAAAAGGCAGAATTACATCCGAGCCAAGACCCTGGGCACACTGATAAAACAACTTGTATTTTAGAACGTCAGTTAGTTGGTTATTTCTTTCACTCCTAATGCAAAGTAAAAATGCCATAACCGCTAAATACAATGTAACAGTCATTATAATAGTCATTAAATAAAGACAAAGAAGAATATTGTTTGCACAGAGTCGTGATTTTAATTATTAACGGATAGGATACTACCAGGGTAGCAAGGAATTAGCATGCACAGCGCACTTACTTCAGCGGGTTTAGTTTCGTCTTTAGTCGTCTTGCCCACTTCTTTGAGCCAATCGTTTTTGCGTTGCTGGGAGGAGGAAAGGTTTAATGCAGACATTATCAAGCCAACTAAGGTGGGTTAGGTTAGGTCAAACACGCCACACCATGCTGTGGGGATCCGTCTGCGGCCCACGAGCTCACCTCCTCGTTCTCCTCTTCCTTTTCGATGGTCGCGAGAGACTCCGCGTCGGCCAAGTTGTCGACAGCGATGGCCAAGAAAACGTTTAGTAGAATGTCTGTACGTTATGTTAAAGAACACTGACACTGTTTGGCTGTAAATTCTGAGAAACACACACTGATTTGGAAAAGGATACAGTTACCGCAGATGAAGAGAATGATGAAGTAAATACAGGCTAGAATGCCAAAAGACGCCACGCCTCCGTACGCCCTGATGCCGTCATACATAACCACGTTCCAATCTTCACCAGTCAATATCTGCAAAATTTTTTCGTTGTTGTTTTTTTTTTCAACTATAAAGTTTGAAACATGTCTCAAAAGAAACTCTGAATAAGTAATTACCTGAAAAACTGTGAGAAGACTCTGCCAAAAGCTGTCAAAATTACTTCTTGGCTTATCTTCAGTTTCTAAAAAATTAAATTTTCCTCCAAAAACTTGCATTCCCAACAGAGCAAAGATAACTATAAACAGGAAGAGCAGCAGCAGCAGTGAAGCGATGGACTGAATTGAGTTCAAAAGGGATGCTACTAAATTTGAAAGAGATCTCCAGTACCTGAAAAATAAAGCGACTTAGAAAGGGAACCTTTTTTGTTTCCCGGAGTTTGAAGCAATTGGTTCGCACTCACTTTGTGACTTTGAATACTCTTAGCAGTCGGACACAACGCAGCACAGACACTCCGAGTGGAGGTATCACTTCGGTGTTGGTTAAAATCAGTTCTGCAATACTACCGATTACCACAAAGCAATCGAAACGATTGAACAAGGAAACAAAATATCCCTGCGAAGGAGACCAAAAATAACAATACGGCGATGTTTGAGACACTAAATGAAAAGCATAACTCAACTAACATAGACTTACTTGAAATCCTAAGCTATACATTTTCAAAAGCATCTCCATTGTAAATAAAGCTACGAAGAACAGGTTGGTTACTTCCTGAAAAAAGTCCAACCACTCTGGCTGCTTGTAATGTTCTGTGGCGAGCACTCCTGTGTTTAAAAACACAAGAAGAATGATAAGCCAGTAAAATCCTTGTGATTTCACCGCCTTCCTGCAGGCTCGTCTTATTCGCCGGTTAACCCTGCAGGAAGGAAAGATCGTAAGACGTTAGCTGCGTCAAGATGCGAAAAACGATCTAATTGACTATTGGTTACCTGTCAATGTCTCTCTTCTTTCTTTTGACCCACGACTCCTGGAGAACTTCTTCCTCCCCATCTAACTGGTCCGCTGAGTTATTTTCATTTTTATCTGCAAAAATGGAAAATAGGATTAAGATCGAGATGCATACTTCCAAAAAATAAGAGTGTACGCTGCTGCAAACTGAAGGCGTGTGCCAGTCTTGATTTTCTCCAATGGATATTTGAATAAATTGTGGGGAAACTGTATGGCAAGGGTGGATTGGTGGAAAGATTAACAGCCCAACCACAAAAGCAAAAAGCCATTTTTTTCCCCTTTTCTGCCTCTGTTTTGGGGACGCTGGCATTTATCGGTAGCATGCACCTTCCAAAAGCTCCATTCGGTTGTTTTGCAGACAACTAATGAAGCGGCCAAAATGGGTCAAATGCACATTGTCCCTGACCAAGCGTGTGATACGGGTTGGGCGGGGACTGGCGGGGACCGCACGGTTCGATGGGGCAGTGGCGCCTGTGGCGACTACATCGGCCCTGCCGTGTCGTGTGGGGTCCCAGAGTCGTGCGTCTGGTAGGCCAGACCGCTGAACGCGGCTGGAGACCGGATGGCCTGCCCTGCGAGGCTACGGCTGGCTATGCCAGCGACAGGCTACGCCAAGCGCAGCCCCATTCTGACATTCATCCAGCTGGGGCGTTGTGGTTGTGCAAGCTGTTTCGATTCGACGAATAGAAGCACCATAGACACAAACAAAGCCACATGCAAAAGCAGAGACAGCCCAACACATGCAGATGTTAGTGACACCTTGATATTGTCCTTGATGAAGTCCTTCAGTGCCCCCACCACCCCATGTTCTGCTGCTTCTTCTTCTCCAGCCAGCTAGGAAAGAGTGGTGGGGGAAACGGCCTGTGAACAGTAAGTAACAGGCATGCCGTTTCAGAACTAGACTCCCTAGAGTCCCGTGCGATTTTTAGTAAGAGTGAAGCTAATTAATTTTAACACACATAAAATAAAACGCAACTAGGTCTCGAGTCGCGTCACAGTGTGCGCAAACTGCTTCGAAACCGTTTAGTTGCCAAAGAGTCACACTATTGTCTACCTAGTGAAGTCACGAGTTCTAGTCGCTAGTCCTAACTAGTGGTTCTACCGGCGTCGCGAGTCACGTCCCCAACGAAGCGTTCGTCGCGGCCATGTTACTTCGGTAACTTTGGTTAAAGTCCAAAAGCTAGGTTAGTTCCACAGCTAAACACGTGTACGAGAACAACACTGAAAATCAAAACACAAGCACTTCTGTTCCTGGACGTACTTTTGCCGTCCTGGCCTTGCTGTCGGTTCTCGTTGCCGCCGTCCTCTGGCTCGATGTCCTCGGCCTGCGTTATCCAGTCCAGGTAGCCCCGCAGGTCCTCTTCAATCTGCTGCTTCTCGCGAAGCTTGTGGAAATCTCCCCGGGCTTTGGCCTTTTCTCTTTCTTTTGAGAACTCTCTGCAAAACAGAACAAAAGGAGTGTGTTCAGGACACCGCAGCGCAAGGTTCACTTTTATGAGCTGGGATAAGAAACAAGACATTACAGTTGGGTCAACAAGTTGCTCCTAATGCTCAAAATAACGTACTTACCAGACAAAGTAACTAACAAAAAACATTAACTATGTGCTGAATTTGATAACTACTCGACTAAAGATAACGAGTGGAACTGGACTTCCAATAACCCATGCATTTCGCATCAGCAGCAAATCAATAATGAAGATTGTATCTACTCAGAAAAAAAGTAAAACAAATAACGGAAAACAAGATAAAAAGCGTCACTCACCCGCTCAACACACCGAGAATTAGATTCATAACGAAAAACGCTCCAAGAATAACCATTGAAATGAAGTACATCCACTGCCAGCTATTTCCCATCGCGTCCTGGATCTGCGTAAACACCACAGAGAACAGGCGGTAAGGACAATGTTGCTGCAGTGGGCTGCCATGGAATGCCATGCCTCCATAGGGATGGCATCCCTGTCATCCGTCTCAAGGACTCCGTGGGTCCAGGACTCTGCGCCTGCCTTGAGCGCAATCTCTGTCTTGGAGAAACCCTTCTTGAAGTTTTCAAAGACTTTGTTCTTTTCCCTGAATGCATGCTGGCATCGTTCGTGATTGAGTCTACGTCATAAAAAAGCGAAAATACTATCATGCGGCTTTGATTATTGTGCATGTGACGACTGTTCCACTTTAACTACTACTCTGCTACAAAAACGTAAGCAAAAACACAATCCTTTTTTTATCCGTCAGCGCCATTGGCTGAATTTTAATCAAGAGCTCAATTATTTATCTGGCAACTGCCAGTAAGTTCGTGTCGTGGCACAAAGCATGTCCATCAAATGGTGTGAGCTACTTTGGAAAGAAGTGGATTCTCCGCAACGGTTGCAAGCCTGGAGGGTAGGCAAACCATCACATTGTCTGGAAAGAGGGCTGCCTACTTGTAAGGCACGAGCGCTCCCTGTAATCCACTCTAGCTTTTTATACAAAATAATGCGTCCGCTCATCTCGAAACACTCTCCAGTCTCTCTGATGCTAGTACAAGTTTGAAGAGTCACCGTATTTATCAATTTAAAGTAAATGCAAATTGTTTGATTAAAGAAAAGGAAGGAAAAACTGAATATAGAGCCAGGTCGAGTATATCAAGCTGATAGATGACAGTCTGCTGTGCTGGTAAAGACGGTGGTCCTCGATTTACCGCCTCCTCAGGTACATTGTGTCCCTCCCACTACAGTCGTGTACTTATCCTGTCGAACTGTAAATTTAAATCGTAGTTTAATGTGAATTATTTAGAAGTCAACATTTAATCTGGTTTGTTTATGACACTACTGCTGCTCAGAAGAATGCAAATCAATCCCACATGCAGTCCGGTTTGACAATGCTTGTCTCGTAACGGTGGCAAGCTTAAAATGACAAACCGGTGTCCGCACAATCGTCGGGATATGCGACGTACTGTGCACGTTTACATGAAAATGTGCGGCAGTCTCTCAAGCGAGTCAGTCTCCATAAATGTGACAAAAAAAACAGGACATCTTTCTTATAATGAAAACGCCTTTTTTGCATGATTGTGACTGCTGACTCGCCATGACGACCAACCCAAAAGTGTGACAGTCTAAAATTAGCACGGCGCGAGGCACACTTACATCGTACAACACGTCAGTCCAGCCCTCGAGCGTTATGCATTGGAAGACGGTGAGCATGGACAGGCCGAAGTTGTCAAAGTTGGTGATGCCGAAGTTGGGCCCTTCCCAGTAGAGGGCGCAGACCATTGGGGGCGGGCACTCGAAGCCACCTTCGCCACAGGGGTTCGGCTCGTCCATCATTTCCCCTGCGGCGACCACACAACAAAAACAAATAAGCATACCTTCCTTTTGTCTCCGAGAAACCAACTGGGGACGAAAAAAGACCCAACAGGGTTGAGCACGTGAGCATTCAGCTAAAATACTGACTTCAAGTGCAAAGATTCTTTAAAAAGTTCTTAGAATGATCATCCCCGCGGTAATTTTGAACCAAATTATGATTTTTTTGTAACAAGTTGATTGAAAATTAACTCAGTGGCTGTTAAAGAAGTGACTAAGCGGTTTTTTTTTCTGGTGCACTGGAGCAAGCTGACATTGAGCTCCCACAAAAGTGACATTTTAAATGTAAACACGGCCAAAGCGTCTGCCTTCTTGAAAGAAAAAGAAGGAACGCTCTTTTGTTTGATGAAGAGGACAGGCTCTAGGCTGGCCCACTGCCCTAGGCCCTTCCTTATCAGCCTGACAGGGGACATATGCGTCCCTGGCTGTCGCGCCGTGGCGAGGAAGCGTTGCGAGGAAACGCGTGCGCTTTCGCCTTGGCAATCTCGCAGAGCGAAAAAGAGTTCCCGCAGAGAGCAGTTTAAAAGTTGCGGCACACGGTCGTGCGTAGACTGCGTTCTACGCTCCCAGAGCAAGGGCAGCAAACTAGCCTAACCTAACTCGCCGAGGAAAAATAAATTGAATGTTGCGAACAGACTACCAACTCACCTGTTATATTATTGAAACACGTTTTGTGCATTTTCCCTGAGAATAATTCCAAGCCTATAATGGCGTATATAATAATCACAAAAAGTACAAGTAGAGCTATGTGTAATAATGGCACCATGGCACGGAGAATTGAATTGAGCACCACCTGCAAACCTAGAGAACAAAAAAAGAGAGTGTCTTTGGAGGTACTTTATTTGTTCAGAGAGAATCCCTAAGAATTTTTCCGGCACTTACTTGGCACACCAGACACTAGCCTCAAGGGCCGTAACACACGAAATGCTCTTAGCGCCTTTACATCGAAACCTTCTTTCATAAGGTTTGAAAGCGCTGTGCTTAACATTCTGCAGACAAGATTGAAACAGTTAGCTCGAAAGCACCAGCAAAATAGATGCCGCAGACTTTGGGATCGACTTACCCTATAACTACAATTGTAAAATCTAATAAATTCCAACCGTTACGAAGGTAGGCGCCCGAATGCGCCACAAAACCATACGCTACGATCTTCATTACACATTCTGCTGTGAATATAACTAGAAAGACATTTTCAATTTTTTCCTGGGAACAAAAAAACAAGACAATAGAGACGCTCCAGAGACGCAAAATACAGGGCCAGCTCACCGTCACTCACTCACCAAATACAAATTTGTTGTGTTGGAATCACTGTTGGGGTACGGAGTGTACACAGCCAGGGCTACGCAGTTCGCGAAAATAGTCAGCAGGATCAGGTACTCAAATGGTCTGGAGGTCGGAGTCAAGGAAAAAGAAACTCGGCCGAAGGAAAAAAGTAATAATAAAATAACAGTGTGCTCAAGTGATTCTATATTGGAACGAAATGCATATTGCGGCCGCGGCTCCAGAGGGGGGTGGGGCGGTGCAGGGAGGGTGAAGGGAGGGCGAAGGGAGGCAGGGCTCAAGTGGAAAGCCAAAAGAGGATGGAAGCGGCCCTTCAGTTAGGGACCGGAGGGGAGTGGTGGGGAAGGGTGGAGGGAGGGGGATGGGAGGTCAAGTGCCTTTCAATGGTGTGGGTCCGCCTAGCGTCGTCACGACCGGGACGTCCCATAAAACCACAAGCCCGCCCTTCTATCTGGGAAAATGTTATTCCTAGTCACGGGCATATTTTGTTTCAAGAAAGGAAAAAACAATTACGAGCAACTAAAAACAGAAAGAAGATTCTATATATAAGTCATACTGGGTGGGTGCCTGGTGCTACGACCAAGTCAAATCATGGCATGAGATTTTTTAAACATACCTTTTTCCTTCTGTTTTTACAGTTTCCGATTAATGGTTTGCATGACCGGAGACTTTTTATTTTCGATTTAAAATTAGCATTTTAATTTATTTCTGGGTAGAGGAACAGGTAGGGAAAACGAGAGAAAAAAAACTCCCGAAACTTTATGGGAAATCGGGGTTCCGGAGCGAAGGACTCGCCCTGCCGCGCGCGCTCTGCCGGCGTGTCTGTCAACCAGCCATTCGTGCGTCCCAGTGCCTTCGCCGTGGGTATCGGAGCCGGGAGCAGGCGGTTGAGAGAGGGAGAGGGGCAGAAAGAGAGAGAGAGAGAAAGAGAGAGAGGAAGAGAGAAAAGGCGAGGGGGTTGGCCTCCGGTGCTGTTTTCCAACGCAGGGAGCCAGGAGGGAAGGCCAATATTTTTCATGTCGGGGAAGAAGTGATCCGATGAGAGGCTGCCGGCGGCAGGCAGTTGTGACCGCGCGGCCCTGAGCCGGTCAGCCCCCCCCCCCCCCCGCGAGGGAGTGAGTCGGAAAACACGTCCGGTTTGAGGCCGCGCCGCTCATCTACAAGCCAAATGGAATGGCCGTGGATGACGGGCGCAGTGGCGCGGCGCGGTGTGTTCCCTCGCTCCGCCAAGGGCTTAATCGTTACGAGGGGGTTGTAGATTTAGCGCCCCAAAAAAGCCTCAAAAAGGATACTTCCATTCCACCGTGTCGATGCACACCTTCCTCAGGGGGTTGTTGAGCTTGAGGCAGAACAGGGCCCGCGCCGGCCGGTCCGGGGGCGGCTTGCCTCCGCGACGCACGGGGCGCTTGGGGGCGGCGGGGGCGGCACCCAGCGTTGCCTGTCCCAGCGCGCCCACCGCCCCGCCCGCCCCCGGGCCCGCCCCTTTGGTACCGCTCATGGTCGTGGCGTCGAGGGCCGCCTGCCAAGCGCTGGACAGCGGCTTTTCGGAACGCCTCTCCGAGCTGGAGGTGCTGTAGTCATGGTGCTGGCCCGCCCCTGCAACAGAAAGGGAGAGCAAAGTTTCAGTTGCCAGAGCCGGTCAGAACAGGAGACAGTTCGAGTCATGGGAATTTCTGGGGAACTTGTTGAAATAAACCTGTCCGAGTTAATTAGAAAAGTATGATTCTGTTTTTCTCCAGAGACAGCTGTTTCCATTTTTTGTCGTCCAGAGCTATGGTCGACAATCAACGTAACCAGTGCAGTGTAAAATTCACGAAGTTCCAATTTTTCTTTTTGCAAAAGGTCTTTCTCACTATCATTAGCGACCCACGAAAAACAAATGAAAGCACAGGGTGGGGTGGTGGTCGAACCGGCGCCCCGATTGAAAACGACTGCCGCAGGGGCCACAGCGCCGCTCGGAGATTAGCGAAGCAGGAGGCCAGTTAGTGGATAATGGACTCTTCAGCGCCGGTTTCCGGTTTCGAATCCCAAAGCCATACCCAACGATTTGGCGATAATCTGGCCGCCGGGGGTTTTCCGCGCGTGAGAAGAGGGTGCACTGCGGTGGCGGGGGAGGGGAGGGGGACGGGGGCAAGTGTGGAGGGGAAGGGGTGACGAGGCTGTGACTTAATTAAGCAGGGAGCCTGCGGTATAATGTTTTGGTATCGCGTTACCGAGGTGTGCCGGCCGGCGTGGCCGCGCCGTGCCGTGCCGGGCCGCGCGTCGCCGTCCGGATCATCATCATCGAGATTACGAACAGGCGGCGCGCGGTAATGCTGGGCCGTGCGGGGTGACGCGGGGTAACTGGGGGTAGTGCGAGGCAACGCGAGGTAGTGAGAGGTAATGAGGCGGGGCGGTGACCGCCGAGAGAGACAGAGACGGTGCCTTCATTTGGAAATTGGCAAAGTTAGCCGTCGACTACTTTTGCGGCGCATTAACAGCCTGGCACCCACTCCGCCCCTCCCCTTCCCCTCCCCGCGCCCTCTGCGTGTCCCCGCTCGAGTCTAGGCTTTGATCACTGACCCAAACTTGACCGCCGAGACCCCATCGGGGACCCATCGGTGCCAGTCAGCTGCTAGTGGCGGATAGAACCCGACCCCTAAATTGCCGTGCCTTGCCGTGCCGGGGCCGTGTCTTGTCGGCGGTGCCCGTTACAGTGTCGGCTCACCTTCCAGCCGGGTGCTCCCGCAAGCAGCGCCCGGTTTTATTTTTGTTTTCAGTGACGTCGCGATTATGATGAGAAATTGCGCACGCGCGCTTTTAAACACGTCGGGCGTGGAGTGGTGTCGAAAGTGTGGGTCGCCGCGCCTTTGATCCTACCGGCTCCTCGACGGCCACACACACACACACACACACACACACACACACACACACACACGCGCGCGTACGCGTCAGCGAACTCTCACCCCCGCCACCTCCAGGGGCTTCACGGTCGGGATTTAATTTTGCGCCTTGGCCGACTGCCGTGAAAGGAGGTCGGGCCCTTGGCAGCCCTTGGTGTGATATTACTCTGCCACATCTCCCGCTCCACACAACAGCCTCGGCTTTTTTTCCCTTTCTGTATTTCAACAACGCGCGGTGGGTGCGGCGGGTCAGCGAAAGAGCCGAGAGGGGCGTCGGATCCATCAAAACCGCGCCGTGGACACACAAAGCCGGACGGGTGGCGTCTGGGGCCTGGCGGTTGACGAGGACGTTGACGAGGACGTTGACGAGGACGCCGCCGACGAGGGCGGCAAGGTCCTGCCGGACGCGCCAAGTGCCGCGCCGGCCGCCGCCGCCCGGCTTCCCTCCGCCTTGGGCGCGATGGCGGTCATTTGCTGATGAACACCCTCAACTTTATTGGCGCTGATCGCCTGCCACGCCTCGTTCGGCCCTTCGATGGGCATTCGCGGGCTTTCACGACCTTTCACGGGCTTTGGCCGGCTTTGGCGGGCTTTTTATCGCTTTCGCGGGCTTTTTGCTCGCTTTGGCGGGCTTTTTGCTCGCTTTGGCGGGCTTCTTGCTCGCTTTCGCGAGCTTTTTACTCGCTTTCGCGGGCTTTTGCTCGCTTTTGCGTCATTTGCGGCAGAGCGGTCACAGCATCCTCAAAAGTGTCCCAGGTGATGACACGTTTTGTGATTGGTGAAAATAAGGCCGGAGCGCGGGAAGCCTGAGAGCCTCGAAAGCCGAGAGGTGCGAGAGCCAGCGGGAGAACGCCTCGAAGATAGGCGAGCTTGTCGTCTGACATCCAGGGACGGAAAATCTCATCCCCTTAGGTTAAATGGATTTCTATCACGACGACGGCAGCTCCCTAACACAGCCTTGTTCACAGCCAGCCCCTCGCTCTGGGAACAGTGTTGCCGCTACACTGCCGCTACTTTCATAAAAGGCAGGGGGTGCCCAGAAGGTGGTCAAAATTCCAGACGCGTTTTGAGCTCCAGAGTCGCTAAGTGGGACTCGAAACAAACGTGTGACCCCACCAATGGATTGCTCTCCGAACGAGGAATCCATTGGTAGGGTCACTCGTTCTGAGTCCTGTTTAGCAACTCTGGGGATCAAAACGCGTCTTGAGTTTTGGCCGCCTGCACCGGTCTTCTGGCCCACTGTGCCTGGCCCAGCGCGAGGCCCCAGGCCCCAGCCCAAGGCTGTGGAGGGGAGTCAATGGTGCGGAAAACTGGCGTCCAATCGCGGCCATGGGCAAGCCATGGGTGAAGCGCGACGGCGTGCGACTGAAAGCTTCTCCCGAGGAAAGCCAGGGAAGCAAACCTCTCGCCTCGCTCTGTTTTTATTTCTCCCCCTCCTTCCGGGGCGGGGGGAGAAATCACTAGTTTTCCCGTTTCCGGTGTCGCCCCGGTCTCCTCATCCCGGGCGACTTCGCAGTGGTGGCGTTTGCGGAACGAATATCCGCCGGAGAGTGGCTTTCCTTCTCGGTGCTGCCTTCATCGTTTGCAGCGGCAACGAACCGTGCGCCAGGCCGAGCCAGGCACAGTGGGCCAGAAGACCGGTGGAGGCGGCCAAAACTCCAGACGCGTTTTGAGCTCCAGAGTCGCTAAATAGGACTCGAACCGAACGTGTGACCCCACCAATGGGTTGCTCTCCGAACGAGAAATCCATTGGTGGGGTCACACACTCGGTTCGAGGCCTGTTTAGCGACTATGGAGCTCAAAACGCGTCTAGAGTTTTGGCCGCCTCCACCGGTCTTCTGGCCCACTGTGCGCAGCGCGAAAGCACGGCGCCGGAAAGGTGCCTGTCGTCGCGCCGTCTCTCTCGCACTCGTGGGGCGCTCCGAAGGGGCGAGAGAGAGGCGGCCCACTGCCAGAGCACGGCCTCGCCGGGGAGTGGCCCAATCAGGCGTGCTGGGGGTAAATACGGGCGACAGCCTCGTCCCGTCTGCCCGTCGCTCTCTTTCACACATTTTACTTTGATTAGCCTCAGGCAGGGTCCTTGTCAGCGTCAGGGGCTGCCTGCCGGCTCGCTGCGCCTCGGCTGGCGGCATCGGTAGTTTCACATTGACGTGCCTCGCCAGCGCCGGGCCGGTTCGACCCGTGCCAGTCCGACCCCGGCCTGGCGGCCTCCCTGGC